TGACACTCTAACTCCTTTTGGAATGAACTGATTTTAAAAGATGTCATATAAAAGTACTGTAAGGCTATATTACAGTATCTGTGCTACAAACTTGAATGAAATAATAATTTGTTTCCCCCAGGGAATTGTGGCTGACTGGAGGACCTGAGCATACGTGCCAAACTACAGTTCCCAGGATTCTTCAGAGTAAGCTACAGCAGTTCGACCGGCATAAGATAAAAACCAAATGAGTTCAGACTCAAGGCATCTAACAAAACAGTAAAAGCTGCATGGACGGAGTAACATCATAAACTTCCAGCAACAATTTAAAATGGAGAAACAATTAATACACAAACTTAAAAAGCAGCCAAATCAGTTTACCCTCCCCCCCTTAAAAAAGCTACAGGGAACCACAATTAGTTCTGTTAGGAAACTTGCTGCAGTAATAGGCTACATGTAAGTTTCTCCAGCAAGGCAAATAGTGACTCTGGTGGATGTATCAGGCTGGAAGAACAGAGTGTGAAGGAAGCTTAAGCCACCTCTCCATATGCAGTTCAGTCCCAATGCAAAACAGGACCCCACAAACCTGAGAACTGTTTCAAAATGGAACTTCCAGAACACACCTGACTTGATACAGCCGAGTAAGGGCATGGACTTATCACTCCATTCCTGGAACACCAGCCATGATAGTATGTTGTAGTGAACACAACAAGGAGTCATGGAAAAATTAAAAGGCTTACAGATTAGTGGACTAGAACCTACTGCATTGGAAACATCATGTGTAGCCTCAGCTGGAAGACAGAGACTCAATTAGGGAAGAGAAACATGTTCACTGGCAATGAAAGTCAAGAAGTACAGCATGTGACATTTCTCTGCAAGGCTTGGCTGAGTCTAAGATAAGAATGGTAACCATTATGAATAGCAACAATAGGTAATAACACAAACTTCCTAGACATGCTAAACCAGTTGAGTCCCTGGATCTGGTGGAAGGCACACAATATAGAATCTTGTTGAAGCTGGTCGGTGCCAAAACAGAAGACTTCATGAGTCCCATGATGGAGGGAAGGTAGAAGACAGATGCTAACGGCAAAATAATTCAATATTTGTAGTGTGATACAAATGCCTTATGTTTATTGAGACATAATGATAGTCCTGATGAGTTTTGTCAGCATTTTCATGATGGAATTTCCCTTTGAAGTTCTTTTACTGAACAAAGGTGACTTTCAGGTCAACAACACAATGATCTGGGAGACTGAGTTTATTTTTCCAATAAACAGTGAATGTTGCCATTGTTGAACATTTCAGCCCACAGGGACACTGTGCTGTAGCAGGAAGCACTGGAACAGTCTATTGGAAGCTATTGGTAGTCCAGCAGAAGTTTCGAGGATGAAGTTGGATTTTGGGGAAGAGAGCGAATTGCCTTCACCGTCCAAAGGGTCTATTTTCTCTCTCTTTTCCCCCCAAACATTTTTATTTTCTAAAACCTACAAGAAAAATAGGGAAGGGAAAACTATAAACTATGGGAGAAAGTAAAGATAAACCACTAAAAACCCAAGAGGTGGGATCATATAATGCTTACAATAAAATAGATTTGAATTTTTTAAAAAAGTAATTTGTTACATTGTAGGTGATCGTTAACATCGCTTAAATAATTCAAGTCCAAGTATTCTGACTTAGTAAAGAACCATGCACAAGAACGGTTAGATAATAAAAATCAAAAGTCAAACTTCAGAGTCAAAACTAGCATCTCATTTACCTCTTCTTTCCCTCAATCAATATCCTTGCTTGGGGGCAGCTACCCCACGTTCCGAGTCCGAATCTTCTCCAGTAAGTGCTTCATCATCACTCCCCTTCTTGCTCTTCTCATCTTCTTCTCCTGTTGGATCCAATTGTTGCTGCAGAAACTCTTTTGCTTTCATAACAGAGTCTATTTCCCCCCTCTTATCTTTAAATTTGAAGAGTATGACTTTGGGTACAATCCATTTCTGGATATGTTGTTCTTTTGTAGAAAAGCCAAGTCTCTGTATTTTTTTCCTTTTTTCTCTTATTTCAAAGGGAATGTCTTTCAAAACTCTTATCTCCTTGCCATCAATTTTAAGGGCAGTTCCATTTGTTCCTTTTAATATCTGATCCCTCACTTGTCTTCTGGAGAATCGCACCACCACTTCACCGGGCAGATTATTTTTCTTTATATATTCTGAATATGACCTATAGATCACATCCATTTCGCCTTGAAGAAAATCCACTTTAAAATCTGCAACCGGTCCCAAAACATCACTCAAAATCTGTTGAAGATTCTCCCCTTTAGTCTCAGGAACTCCCTGAAATCTCAGTATAAAGCTTGTCTTTTCCATTTGTAGTTGTAAAAGCTGGGCTTCATCAGAGTTTCTCTTCTTTTCCATATCCTGCATTTGCTTTTTAAGCTTTTTAGTGTTGGCATCCACTTCTTTCAAATTCTCAGCTGTTTGCTCTGTTTTTTTAAAAGTCTCATCCAGTTGCTGTTGCTGTGCAGCAAAATTTTAATTGAGTGTCTTTATTTGCTCCAGCAGGGGTCGCAATGCTTCTGTTAGCATCTTAGAGAAGTCTATGTTTCCAGTCACATGACCACACTCGCTGGGCTAGCACATCCTGAAGGAAGCTTAGGTTTCATTTGCTTATTTTTCACCGTCTTCTTCAGCGACATCTTTGAAGCTGTTTACCTTTTACAAAGTTTGCCAAAAGTCTCTAAAGTCTGCAAATCACCTGTAATTTTCTTGTAAGTTCCGTACTATAGTCCCATTTTGTTTTCAGTTCCGCCCCCCTTTAAAATGCATGCTTTAAGTCCGTTTTTATTTCCAGGGGGGGGGTTCCCGCCCCCCCTGCTTACTTTAGAGGGGACTTTCAGCCATTTCTCTGGTTCTCGTTTCAACCAAACTCACTTTCAATGTAGATCATGTAGATCTCGCCATCAAACGTGTAAAATGCTTAACCTCCACTCGCTTGTCCCGGTGTGCGTCTCTGAGTCCAGTTCTGGAACACAGCAACGAGACCTTCGGGGCATCGGAACGCCTCAATCCACCAGAAGCGTGCCGGGGGAGAGGTGATCCTTAGCACCCCATGACTAGGAGCCCTTTTCAAAGGCTCCAGGGGGGGCGTGTACGATCACACCCCCTCTCATCCGCCGGCTCACGGATTGCATCCTTGGGAGCTCCTGAGAGATGCGTCCGCCATTAGAACGCCAAAACCGGAAGTCCCCCAAAGGGTCTATGATCTCTGTAGTCTGGAGATGAGCTGTAATTCCGGGGATCCCCAGGTCCCACTTAGAGGCCGGTATCCCTACACAACTCCATGAAGGAAATTAGGCTGAGAGATAAGTATTTGCCCAAGATCACACACTGAGCTTCACAGACAAGGAGAGGTTTGAACTTGGGATGGCCACCCACCATCCAATCAATTTAGCCACTGCATCACACTTGGAAATTACTCTGCATGTAATTGCATACTCTAGTTATTCTTAGTCAGGGATCACTAAAGTAGGTGGCTAGGATTCAAGCTGTCAGTCACTCTCATCTGCAAATTCAATCCCTTTTCCCATTGTCAGGAGTCAATTGCCAGTGGGGTAAAAGGAAAAGGGAGAGAGAGGGAGGGAGAGAGAGGAATGAATGTCTTCTGCTGAAGTTAATTTGTGAATTTTATAATCCATGATTTGAGTTCATTGTTTTTCCTATGTGTACATTTTATAAATAAAACCAAATACATTTATTTTGTTTGCCTTATATCCTATATTTTTAAGACAGTATAGGAAGGTCTTGGCCAGACTCCTGGAGAATAGGGTTGCCAGACTCCAGGTGGGCCCTAGAGATCTCCTGGAATTAGAACTGATCTCCACGCTACAGAGATCAGTTCTCCTGGAGAAAATCACTACTTTGGAGGGTGGACAGGTGGCATTGTACTCCACTAAGGTCCTGCCTCTCCCCAAACCCCTTTCATACTCCTGTAGAATATAAATACGAATGTTCTTTTATTTCAGTTCTGCACCAAATTGCTGGATCCTGATACTTCAAAGAAGTATCTCAGAAGGCTAAACGGAAACCGAATTGGAACTCATGATTAGATTGCATGATGTTTCTAAAGATTTGACAGGAAGGTTCTCTCACCCATTTGGCTAAATACTGTATTCACATTTCCTGTACCAGTAGTTCAAGTCACAGTTAGCTGTTTTTAACAAGTGTTATTATTACCCAACCTGAGGTCTCAGATTGTTATGATAAAAGTGGGCCTCTAAATGTTTTAATAAGCACATCTGGAAAATATTGTATATTTTGATCATCTTGCAAATCTTCTCAGTGCACTTCACTCACATGACAAAGTATGCTAGCGTCTAAGGGGAGAGCTAATATCAGAATAAAATGGTATGCATAAATGCCGCCCCCATACATTTTTTCATGTTTTTCTGAAATAGCAAAAGTAAACAGGAGAGTTGTGGTACCTTAAAGACTAACAATATATTACAGCATAAGCTTGGACTGCTGCCCACTCCTCACTAGGCAGAAATTTAAGGTGGGAAATATGGGAAGGCAGCAGGATGAAGAAGCTATAAAATGCAGGAAATACAGGAAGACACTTACGTAAAGTTCAGATCTAATCAAGAAAATGACCCATTCGCTAGTTACGCTAAGTTAGTTAACACCTGTAATGGATGAGTGGGAAGTCCCAGGCTTTGCTAAGATTGTTAACACTTGCAGTGAAGCAGATCTTCCCTGTATATTTTATCGTCTGGCACATGGAAAGAACACGCTATAATAGGAAGCAAGCTGGTAACGCAATTGCAAACCCCACCCATTTTCGCACCGAAGAGCCAACAATTTCAAAGCGGCCTCAGTGAGTCCAAAAACTACAATTCCCACTATTCTCTCGGATGTGGCCTTTGGACTACAAATTCCACGACGCATTGCGGTCACCCGCTCTCCCTTCCCGCCCCCGTCCCATGCTTTCTGTCCCGGCGGGACGTACAATGACGTCTTTGACGGTATCGTGACGTTGACAGGGTCAGGGTTCACGGAGGCCGGAGCCGGTGTCTGTCTGGTCGCGGGCAGAACTGAAGAGGCCGGGAGTCGGACGTTTCCTTCAGGTCCACCCCCCCTTCATGGCGGCTCGCCGGCTCCGGGAAGTTTTGCAACTGGGAGCGCGGGGAGGGCTGCGGCTAAGAGCGCCCCCGGCCGGCAGGTGAGCGGCGGACAGGAGGGGCAGAGAAAGGAGGCTGAAGAAAGAGAGGGAGCAACAGGTGGGGCTGGGGGAGGGGGGGTGAGGGAGGCTGCCGGCTCGGCTTGCCCAATAGGAAGGGGCACGGTCGGGGTGGCCACGTCTCTTTCCTGGCAAGGCTCCTGTGCTTTCCCGAGAACAAGCCAATTCGAAGCTTCCTCTTTATCTCCAAACAGTTGGAAAAGATTTGCTTGTTGGATTTCTGAGTCTCCTACAGCTGTTAAAGCATAGAAGCTGAGACGGGAGAAAAAACTGGTAGCCCTTTGAGATAAGAGGCTCCCGTTACAATGCTGGGAAGAGAAAGGAGACAAGCCTTTAAAATAAAGTTAAAAATAATCAGGGGCATCCGGCAGGCCTCCAAAAGGAGTTTGGTTGCTCTGGAAAACATGCTGGATTCTTCTGACTTTGATTTTTAATTAAATTATTCAGTTGCAAGGATTTTGGGGGAGGAGCAGCTGTCTGTGTCGCGTGGAGGCCTGTTAGAGAAGCAAAGGGAAAGGCCTTGTAAAAGGAAGGAGAGACAGAGGTTAAAATGGATACTCTTATGCTGTTGAGAGTTGCTGGCTGTAGTCGAGAGCTTGGAAAAGGTCATAAAGGGGTTGCTGAAGTGGAGATAATTGTGAGGAGAGCCAACTGGAGAAGGGGGAGTGCAACTGGCTTGGTTGGTGAGGGTCTTTAGGGGCTTAATGGTTCAGGATCCTGTGAGTGTTGGCCCAGGAAATGACTACAGTGGGTTTTCTTGATGAACATGTTCCTGCAGGGAAAGGTATTCATTCACATTAGGGTGTGTGGAAGAGGTGTGTATCCTAGATTACTTAATATGGACAAGGAAGGACCTCTCCTTTGGGGGGGGGGGGTGCTTGAAAACGAATACTGTTAGAATCTTTTGCTTCCTACACCATGGAGGTGTAGTGTAAATGCATATCTTTTGTATGCAGTGCCCAGCAAGAGGGTTCTACAGAGCAGGAACAGCAAACAGGGAGCATGTATGTAGCACTGCTTCTACTCCGTGGTGTTGTGTTTCAGCCTTGAGCCACTTTGGAAGAGGCACACTCTGCTTCCCCTCACTACTCTTAATGCTTTAAAATGTGTTTCTCCAATAGCACAGCACAATCGGTGTCCATCACCATATTTAAATGTCTGCTCAGTGCTTACCACTGGTGGCTGTATTTGTAAATCCTAATTTTGTACAGGCCTGACCTGGATAGGCCAGACTAGCCTGATCTTGGGAGTTAAGCAGGCTCAGCCCTGGTTTGTATTTGGATGGGAAACTACTAAGGAAGTCTGGGATCGCGAAGCAGAGGCAGGCAATGGCAAACCACCTCTAAACAGTCTCTTCCCTTGAAAACCCTGTGGGGTCACCATAAGTTGGCTATGACTTGACAGCACCTTCCACCACCACCAGTTCTCTACAAATGTGCATGAGATTCCTGCCCCCCCCCCTTCAGTTCTTGTTGATTTGTACACCGGTGATTGTGAATACAGAATACAGATTGATTTACCTAGAAAAGCACAGTGGGTTTTTTCCACCGATGGCGTTAGAGAACTGAGCATGTTAGTAAAAGTGGCTCACGCCTAGTGGCCATTTGATTGTATAGGAATCCCTCAGTCCAGCTATGGAGATGTGGATGCCTGAGAGAATTGTACATAGTAATATTGGTAGCTATGCCCCATATCATTATATAGGTGGCAATTTAGCGCAGTTATTTATTATAATTATGTAATCTGTGTAAGGGTATAAGTATTGTGTGGGGATGGAAACAAGGGGAGAAAGTGTCTGAGCAGCTGGCAGTTGTCAGACTCATAGCTTTTATTTTAAGAAATGCGGTGAATGGTCTTCAGGCTTAATAAATCTTGCTAGGCCTCTGTTGGCTGTAGCAGCAGCGAAACAAAGAAGTTCTCAGATTAGACTGAAAGCTGGCAGGAGGTCATAGCATTCTGCTCCATTTACCCTTCAAGTTGGAGAAGGTTGGTGGTGCCTGTTTCTTCAGTAATCAGACATGATTTTTTTAATGTTTAAGGCGCTTCATAGAGATGCAGTGTGGTGGAAGAGCTGGTAACACAACAGCTAAATAACACACTTTCAATCCACTTTCAGTGCACTTTGCAACTGGGTTTCACTGTGTGAAATGGCAAAATTCATCTGCAAACCGTCAATGAAGTGGATTGAAATTGCATTATTTTGTATTTGTGTAACCTCCCAACAGAGTCACTTTCAGGATGGACTTTGACTCCCTCTGATTGGGTTCAAGACTGGTGACTTTTGGACAGATTCCAATAGTGCTTTTTTCCTCTTGACTTCTGAATTACACACATTTCTGATCAGAAAGTGTATTTTGGCATGTGTCCAATGAAATGTGGGTAGAATTCATCTAAAGTTTGGTGGTATCCCATGAATGGAAGGATTATTGTGCAAGTAGTAGGCCTGCTTATGTCACTATTCTTGCACCATCATGAACCCTAAGTATTTGCTGCAATTGAATATAATTGTATAAAATGCATTATTAAACAACAGGTGTGCAAGCACAAACTTAGACTACAATTGTAGTCTTAGTGCTTGTGCAAATGGATATAACTGGGTACAATGAAAATTTCTCTGCACTATAGTGTATTGCAGCTTTTTAAAAAAAGTGTTTCTGCATATGTAAATACAATTATGTTTGAGGAAGTGGATCCCAGGATGTGTGCTGATGTGTATATAAAACATGTGGAAGATCGCACACAGTGCATTTTATAGCTGTGCTCCAATCACACTGTGGGAAGTGCCACAATTATGCATTGCCATAGCATGGTGACTTGGCTTCACAGGAGACAAATAGTGATGGTTTTTGGAACATAAAAGGGAGCCGATTTGCGCTCAAAATGCTGCTGTATGAGGGAGGGCTCCTGCCTCCCCCCTGAGCCATTTCCCCTTGGATGAAAGAGGATGGGCCTCCATTTTTACTGCTCTATGTGAAGTATTCTGTACATGTGGAGCAGCAGAAATGGGGGAAATAACTACTCCCAATTTTGTGTGGGAAAACAGCTTGGGCGGGGGGGGGAAGGAGCCATTCCTCCCCATGCAGCAGTGTTATGAGCCCAAATGGGCTCTCCTTTCTTTTTGAAAATCTACTCCCTGCAGCTGCTGTGGTGCTGCAGGGAACCCAGATCCAACTCTTTAAAAATAAGCATGTCTAGTTTGGTCCTCAAATGCATGACTTGAAACACATTAATTGGAACTCCAGTGGGAGGTATCACAGTTCTCCAACATGAGGCTGAGTTTGGCATGGGCATTAGGCAGCTGATGTTCTCTGGCACATGTTTTCTCTGCTCAAAAACGTTTTCACATGTGGTTTTATCTTCAAGCTCTGGAAAGAGAGTGGCACTTGGATGCTAGTCCTTCCCTAAGTTGGTCTGGTGGTGAAGAACACAAACATTACTCATCCATGGCAGAACACATGCTTTGCATGCAGAAGTTGTCATCTTAAGTCCCTAGAATTTCGAGGTAGAAGATTTCTGGCAGCTGTAGTAGGGAAAATCTGTCTCTTCCTGAGATCCCAGAGATCTCCTTCCAGGCAATGGCATAGAAGAGGGCCTGGGCTATATAGTCCAGTAGTCTAACTTGGTGCTAAAAAGGTTTCCCTTGCTCGAAAGCCAGTTGAATCCGATTCTAGGGGTGGTGCTCATTTCTGTTTTCAAGCCGAAGAGCCAGCGCTGTCCGAAGACGTTTCCGTAGTCATGTGGCCAGCATGACTAAACGCCGAGGCATATGGAACACTGTTACCTTCCCACCGAAGCGGTACCTATTTATTTACTTACAATTTCTTGCTTTCGAACTGCTAGGTTGGCAGGAGCTGGAGCCAGAGACGGGAGCGCACTCCGTCACGTGGCACTAGGGTCTCAAAATGCCGAACTACAGACCTTCCGGTTTGCAACTCAGTGTCTTAACCTCTGAGCCACTGCGGCCCCTAACATGGTGTTAGGCAGATTCATATGTTCATACCTTCATTTGGCAGCTGAAACCAAGCTACTGTGTCTCATCCTCGGCTGCTTTCACATCTGTAGGAGCACACTGTTAACTTATGCAAGTGCTTTAAGCATTTAGGGATGTGTTATATACCGTAAATATCAAGTTCTATTTATTTATTTAGGGAATCATCCCCCCCCCGCATCCCCCCCATTTTGTTACAGAGGAACAAGCTTTTCCAGCATGGTGGATATTTTCTAGTTGGAGGCTGTTGTGATCCAAATCCAGTGCTTTTAATAATAAATAGCAAAGATTCTCCACTTGATCCATAATTTCCAGGAACACCTATATGTTTGTGCCAAAACCCTAGTTTGAAGCATTCAGTAACATTTACAGTTGTGGCCTTCTGATTGTACTATTTGGCAATTGAAAAGATGATTGTAACAGACTTCTAAACACTGGAATGCAGTGGAATTTGGTCTCCCATTGGGCCACAGTGCACATGCTTTCTATATGCCCTCCCTCCCCATCTGAGAGCTGAAGACCTTATGTTATGCTTTAACAGTTTAGCTGAAAGCTACCAAAGCCTAGGAGCGAAGAAATAAGTAATTTCATCTGTCCTCCTTCTCTCTGGTTAGGGCAGATTCCGTATTGTGATCTTGGGTAAGTTGTACGATCTGCGTACTCCCTCCTCCCCTTCATACCTGACCTGGATAGCCCATGCTAGCTTGATCTTGTCAGATCCAGAAGCTAATCAGGGTCGGCCTTGGATAGTATTTGGATGGGTGACCTCCAAGAAATACCAGGGCTGGAATGCAGAGGCAGGCAGTGGCAAACCACCTCTGAAATGTCTCTTGCCTTAAAAAACAAGTCTAGCTCACTACTTAGTGGTACATAATGCTAAAAGAGCTAGAACTTCTAGGTGCCAAACAATCTTAGGATCTCTTGGCTATACTACACACACTGCTGTACAATTATTATTATTAATAATTATTATTCCCCTTCTCATACCATAAACTGGAGATATTTTTTGCTTATAGTACCAAATGATGGTAAAGACTAGGTAAACAGTACTAAGCATTTCACTCTTGGTATATACACATGTGTTGAACAAAGCTTGGGGGTAGATATTAGTGTCTTGTTTTTGTGACTTTTAAAGGGTTTTTTTGTTATATATCATTGAAAAAAGTTCCCCATGTTTTACCAGAGAGACCTGATGAAGTGCTGTTACTGGAGGTCTATGTAAGACATCTTCTCAGGGCTGATAGTTTTCCCCATAAATGCTATTCTCAGCCTCTGACTTTCCTTGGACACCTGTGCTGCTACTAAGGCCTTATGGGCCCCCCAGGGTGTGTGCTGCTCAGGGTGTTTGGCCAGCTGCATGGCAGTGTTTGTCCTTGCTGTGCCAGTCTGTTTTGTGTGAGCCACCAAAGACACCAGCCGGTGAGGTTTCATCACTGTGGCCAAGGTCCAGTGGTAAAGCTCTGAGAGGTCACAGACTGAGTCTGAGGCATGGCTCGAGATTGCTATTTAAAAGTCTACTCGTATGTAGAGCTGGGCGGGGAAGAGGAGAATGGTGGGGTGTGTGCCATGTACCACCATTGTTTCCTTGTAGACAGTAAGGCAATGAGCTTTGAAGGGCTTGCTGAGGGCTAATCTACTGAGAACTCTCAAGTTCTGCCATCATGGATTTAAAAGTACCTGGTTGTGCCATGGTGCATTGGATTTCCTGTGCCTTTTCTTATGTAAGCAGCCTATTCGCAAGCACCTGAGACTGCTTGGCACTACCCCAAGACAAATATGTCCCAGCTAACCTGTCAGGGCAGCTATTCCTGTAACTGGCCATTCTTTCCAGAGTCCCCTTGTCCCTGAACCTGCTGTAACCTCCCCATACTGAGTGGGCAATCCTGGGCTGAATTGCATTTAGTAAATAAAAACCTGGCTGTTTCATAACACCTAGCTGGGTCCCTCTCTTTTGTATTCTCGGATCGCTTCCTACCCTTGTGGTATGCCCTGTTGTTTCCTTGGGTATATCTGCCTCAGCAGCAAGACGTGCTGTCCTGCATAGCGCGTGCCCATACAGTGGCTGCTGAAAGATGGATAGAACAGGGACAGTGTCTTTGGTTTTCTCCTGCTTCTGGCAGTCAGATTTGTGCCCCTTGACTAAGGGCAAGAAGAACTTGGACATCTGTGATCCCTTTACACTACAGTGGCTGCTAGCAAATGTGGACACCTTTTCCTTCTGCTCTATGATTGCAAAGGGGTAGCTGCTTCCTCCTCCTAGTCTTTGCCAACGAAGAAGGGATTGGGCATGAAAGCAGCCTGCCCTGCAGCCTTTTCAGTCTTGCTTGAGTGACATTCTTTCCCCTTTTCCTCTTCTCAGGCAAGAGAGT